GCAGGGAGCCCGATGCGGGGCTCGATCCCAGGACCCTGGGATCATGACCTGAGCCGAAGGCAGACGCTTAACGACTGAGCCACCCAGGCGCCCCGAAGCTCAAACATTCTTATAGAATCATTCAAAACAGTGTGCCAATTTATGGTACATTTCCAAAAGAATATTCTTATTCTTACTAACCCTTTTTGGATGAGTAAAGCAGAGAAGGCTCCTCAAGGAAACATACCACATAGAAGAATTGCTTTCATTATGTACAAACCAGGTGCCAACAATTTAAAATGACTATTTTTACCCTTAAGTTTATTTGAAAAGTTCCAATCTGGAAGACCATTCTATTCTGATCATCATTTTCTTATGTGTTAATTATTAACACAGTATGAACTTTGTTCTTTCTTTCTCATTCATCACAAATCTTGAACCTGGTGATAAGGAATAATATGCCCAAATAATATAAGACACTAAGGAAGTATATTTTTAAATAAGAATCTTACTAAAAAATGTGAGTAAATAGGACAGGAATGGAAATTATTTGCAGGAATTGATCCTTCTGGCAGATATACAGGAACACATTTTAGATGTCTTTATAATTATTACAAGAACAAAAAAATAGCATTTGTAAAATAAAGCAGAAAATAATGGTATAGCAAAACCTATTTTCTCATTAACAAAGTTTTGTAGGCAAGTAATGATATTAACATAATACCAGAAATAATAAAATATTTTCTTCTTGCTATATTCAGATTTTTGTTTTAAGATTAAAGTGTATAGCTGTTTTCAAATAGCTCTTTTTTGCACATGTTAACATTTAGACTTTTGTGCATTAAGACTCCCTTTACATAGGTAAATATACAAAGTCTTTGGGCTTTAAAAAACAATCTTATCCAAGTTAGAATGAGAAAATGAAAAAACCAACCTGTTTCAGCGTACAGAGAGGAGCAGTCTTGAGTGTAGAGTAAAATCAAATGACCTCTTTAACTCAGGCTACTTTTGTTTTCGTTTTACACCCCGCCTTTGTCTTGCATCCAAGAGGGCTTTCCTGAAATTTAACCTTGTGAGCACTTGATCTTTTATTTTTTGTATAACCATGCTGTGAAGTCAAATCCAAGTTCTAAAGTGTCTTAGGGTACAAATCTGGGGAAGAATTCCATCTTGTTTCAAAAACTACATACCTTTCAAAGTTTCCACTTAGATGAAAGGAACAAGAAAGTGCCTGCTGCTGAGGAACCAATGGCCAAACCAAAAAAATTCACCCCAGAGAGCCTCAAGGCAGCTAATGAGCACTTGTAGGTAGGATCTAGAGAAATACTCTCAAAAGTTATTTTGTTTAGGAAAGAAAAGAAAAATGACTTTAACTCAGAAGATTCTTTTTAAAGACCAAATTATCACAGACTAAATTCTGAGTAATAATTAGGCATTTATAGAACTTAGTATTTTTTGTGTCACATCATTTAATATTTTAAACTATTAAACTACTCTTGACTTTGCTATATTTCTTCCCTATCCTTGACCCCAGAGTATGCCTTTCCCCAAGACTTTAAACTCTCTTGCACTCTTTAAACTTTTTTTTTAAAGACCAGCATACAAACCTACAAAATCCTTTTGTCTGGGGACGTTGTTCTTCCCACGTCTCCAAACAAATGAAAGTTCGAGAAGAAATGCGGGCAGATTCAGCCCTTCTATTTGAACTGGACTCTCCATACATTTTGTATAACAATACCCTTTATTTCTTTTCTCATGCAAAGCTAGGCTCAGTCTCCACCTGCAGAAATTATAGGCAGCATATAGATGGGTCTTGTTTTTTTATCCTTTCTGACACCATGTCTTTTGATTGGAACATTTAGTCCATTGACATTCAAAGTAATTATTGATATATATGTATTTATTGCTATTTTGTTACTTGTTTTGTGGTTGTTTTTGCAGTTTTTCTCTGATCCTTTCTTGCTCTCTTTCATGGTTTGCTGGTTTTCTTTAGTGATATACTTGGATTCCTTACTCTTCATTTTTTGCATATCTATTACTGTTTTTTGATTTGTGTTACCATTAGGTTTATATATAACATCTTTTGCTTATAGTAGTCTATATTAAGCTGATGGTTGCTTAACTTTGAACTCATTCTTTACTCCTCTCCCCTCCACATTTCAGATATTTGGTATCATATTTTACATCCTTTTATTTTGTGCTTCTCTTGACTGATTTTTACAGATATGCTTAATTTTTTTTTTCTTTTGTACTTGTATTTTTTTTTTTTACTCTTACTTCTGGTTTTTGTTTTCCATTCACAGAGTCCCCCTTAACACTTCTTGTAGGCATGGTTTAGTGGTCATGAATTCTTTTATCTTTTGTTTGTCTGGGAAATTCTTTATCTCCCCTTCTATTCTGAATGATAACCTTGCCGGATAGAGTATTCTTGGCTGCAGATTTTTCCCTTTTAGCACTTTGAATATATCATGCCACTCTCTTCTGGACTGGAAAGTTGCTGATGAAAATTGAGCTGATAGACTTATAGGGTTTCCTTTGTATTTAATGGTCTTCTTTTCTTTTGCAACCTGTAACATTCTTTCTTTATCACTGCTTTTTTTTTGGTTTGTTTTTTTGGGGGGGTTTTTTGTCATTTTAATTGCTGTGTGTCTTGGTGTGGACCTCCTTGGGTTGAATTTGTTGGGGGAATCTCTGTGCCTCCTGTGTTTTCCTTTCCAGATTCAGGAAGTTTTCAGTTCTTATTTCTTCAAATACATTTTCTGCCTCCCTTTCTCTCTCTTCTGGGATCCCTATAATGTGAATATTATTATGCTTGATGGAGTCACTGAGTTCTCTAAGTCTATTTTCATGATGCAATATTTGTCTCTCACCTTCTACGCTTGATTGCTTTCCATTACTCTGTCCTCCAGGTCACTGATTCGTTCCTCTGCTTCCTATAGCCTACTATTTATTTCATCTATTGTATTTTTAATTTCATTTATTGAGTTTTTCATCTCTGATATGTTAGCTTTTATCTCTTTGTCAAGGGTCTCACTAATGTCCTCCACCTACCTCTGAAGTCCAGAGTATCTTTACGATTATTACTTTAAATTCTCTATCAGGCCCATTACTTATTTCTGTTTCACTTAGATCTCCTGCTGTGATTTTATCTTATTCTTTCATTTGGGACATATTTTTCTGTCTCCTCATTTTTCTACCTCTCTGTGTCTGTTTTGGTGTTAGGAAAGTTAACTATATCATCTGCTCTTGAAAGTAGTGGCTTTATGAAGAAGAGGTTCTGTAGTGCCCTGCAGTGCAGTGTCTGCTGTTCACCAGAACCTGGCACTTCACCTGTGTGTGTTGCTTGCATCCTGCTCTTGTGTCTGAGTTGCTTTTCCTTTCAGTCCAGACATCTACACTGAATCTCTGACTGTTGTGGGCTGTGCTTGCTCTCTGTGATGTTAGTGAGACCCACGAAGGCTGGTTTTGAGGGGGCATGACTGCAGAAGGGCTTGCGGGCAGGACGGCGGAGTTAGCAATATTTATTCTGAGCTTCTAGTCCTAGGCTGGATCCCCTGAAGTGCAGAGGCATTAACAAAATTTGTGCTGAACCCAGGGCTGAAGCCAGCAGTCTGGGAGTGGGCAAGTGTTCCAGGAGAACTTATGGGTGGGGTGCATTGCTAGCAGGTCAGGCAGATAGCTTTCTGGTTTATTTACTCAGAGGTGATTGAAATCTAGTTGTAAACATGGGACAGTGGTCCTCCTACTCGGCCATCTTCGCAAACCTCCTCTCTTACCTCTTGTTCTTGATCTTATATACGCTGGAGCAGTGTGAAGTGAACAAGTAAACCTCCCCTAAATTCTCAGACAGGCCCACAAAATCCTGCAAGGTCTGCCTCCATCCCTCATTGCCTCTCTGATCTTATTTCCTACTCCTTTACGCTTTGCTTGTTTGGTCTGCCACACCAACTTTCTTGCTGTTTTGGAATGTACCAGTCACATTCCTTCTTAGGGCTTTTGAACTGTCTCTTCTCTCTGTCTGGAATGTGCTTCCTCTTAATATTTGCAGGCTTTACTCCCTCATCTCTCAAGGCTTTGTGCAGTCACCACCACCTCCTCACTGAGGCAATCCCTGATTACTGTATTTAAAATACCCCTCACCTGCCTATATTCCAATCTAGCTTACCCATAGTACTTATCCTCTGTTAATTTACTATATAATTTGTATTATGTTTGCTGTTATCTCGCCCTATATTAGAATATAAGTTTCATCAGAGCAGGGACTTTTATTTGCTTTCTTCAGTGATACATACCAAGTGCCTAGAATAGTGCCTGGCACATAGTCAATATTTTGAATTAATAAATAATCCTACTTTCCCTTCTGATTATCAATTTATTTCACTTTCCCTTGATGCTATACTTCTTTAATGATTCATCTATAACTGCAGCCTCCATAATTAACAATTATGTAATCTCTTCAATCCATCTATATTATATGTAGAAACAATACTGACTTGTGAGCCTTTGGGCAGTGCTATTAATCCTATCTAGAATACTCCTCCCCCTCCACTTTAGCTCCCTAACTCCTATTTAGGATTCAGATTCAGATCTGACCTTAACATTACTTAATTCACGAAGCCTTCCTTAACCTTTTAGATTAGATCAGATGTATGTACTCTTTACTCCTATAGTACAATCTCGCTCTGTTATTAGTACTTAGTAAAATTTTCTATCAGTAAAATTTTCTGTCTTCCATAGCAATCATGTATCCTGCTATATCCTCAACATTTAGCTGTGTGCCTTACTTATGGTACCAGTTTATTGAATAATAATTAAATACATGAATGAATGAATGAATGATTCAATAAGTCAATCAGAGTTTAACTTATCCTCCACAGACAAGTTTAGCAATGGAGCTGGAATTTTTTTTTTAAGATTTTATTTATTTATTTGACAGAGAGAGAGAGGGCAGAAGCAGGCAGAGCAGCAGGCAGAGGGAAAGGGAGAAACAGGCTCCCCACTGAGCAAGGAGCCTGTTGCAGGGCTCAATCCCAGGACCCTGGGATCATGACCTGAGCCAAAGGCAGACACTTAACCGACTGAGCTACCCAGGCACCCCTGGAGCTGGAATTTTAAATCCAGATCTTCAGTCTTAGGCTATTTCCACTTTATCATACGATCTCTTATACATCTTTGTTATTCCATGATATCATCTATTATAGAATCTTGGTAATTTCAAAGGGTATCTAAAAGTATCCTTTTCCTTTGTTTTATACCCCCAACAATCACATGCTTTCTTGTAAATAGGATTCCCTTCTTGTAAATCAGTTATAATGCTATAATCTTTTTTTTTTTTAAGATTTTATTTATTTATTTGAGACAGAGAGAATGAGAGAGAGAGAGCACATGAGATGGGGGTGGGTCAGAGGCAGAAGCAGACTCCCTGCCGAGCAGGGAGCCCGATGCAGGACTCGATCCAGGGACTCCAGGATCATGACCTGAGCCGAAGGCAGTCGCTTAACCAACTGAGCCACCCAGGCGCCCCTAATGCTATAATCTTTATATCTTTCAAAATCACACATCATTTTTTGCTAATTCACACACATACCCAGCCCTTGGGGCATAAAGGATCTCAGGATCAAGCCGTTTTTGGTGTTATATACCATGTGAAACTAGTTTATTGCCTGGCCTTTTCCTGTATTTTCCTCGTCCCCAGAAAGAACTAGAAGAGATGGTGTTGATAGGGGAGTCTTGACAAGATATGAAAGACAATCTTATAGCTTGGAGATTAGGGAAAAGCATCATTTACCTTAAGCAACTTAAGAAGGTGCTAACTTATTCCTTTCGTGCCCCCCCCCCCATTTTTGGTACTTGTCTCCTACTTCTCATATCCCTAAGAACGGAGTCTTTATGATTCCAACTGGCTGCTCACCATAAATTGTCTCTCACCCTTACCTGCCTTAACATACCAATGTCCCTCATTCCTGAAGAATCTCTCTCTCCACATCCA